TGCGGGAAACAAGACTTCGGCTTTATTGTTCCTTGCATGCAATAAACTCATTTGTTTTACTTCATCTCGGGATCAAGAACCTTATTTCTTCTGTTACAACAGTTTTAAGCCACTCCAGTGTGGCTTTTGCTGTATGTTTTGGGTCATTGACCTGTTGGAAGATGAATCATCTTCAAAGTCCAAGTGCTCTTGTGGATTGCAGCACATTTTTCTCCAGGAGTTTTCTGTGCTTAGCTCCATCCATTTTTCCTTCTATCTTTATGTTTTCCAGTCCGTACCGCAGAGAAGCACCTCCAAAGCATGATGCTGTCACCACCATGCTTCACTGTAGGGATGGTGTTCTCAGTGTGATGTGCTGTGTTAGGTTTGCACAAAACAAAGTTCAATTTTGGTCTCATCAGACCATAAAATCTTCCTCCAAATTGTTAAACCTCTCATATGTACTTTCATATGGAGTTTCTCATATAAACTCCAAGTGAGATGTTACAGTATATGAACTTTTTTCAACAAAGGGTTTCTTCTTGCCACCCTTCCTTACAAGCCAGATTTATGAAGTGTGCGTGCTATTGTTTTCTTAAGCACTATTTCTCCCATCTCTGTCATGGAGGACTGTAACTCCTTTAGAGCTGGTGGCCTCCCTTACTATGGCCCTTTTTGCTTGGACACTCAGTTTTAGAGGATGGCCACCCACAGTCAGGACCCCGGGCTCTCACGAAACGGGATTCAATGAGGAACCTCGGGTGATGTCTACATCTGGCTTTTAAGGTGGAACTAAAGAGGGGCTGGAATAAGGAACAGGTGTGGTGAATGAGGTAGAACAAGGAAGGGCTGGAGCGCCCTTAAGAGGGGGAGTAGCAAGGGGGTGAATACTTATGCATTCAATTATTTTCTGTTTCTTATTATAAATTAATTTAGTAAAATGTCTGGATTTCTTTTTTACTTTCACATTATAGAGTACTTTGTGTTGACGAGTGGCAAAAATTCTCAAGTTGTGAAAAACTCCAAGGGGGATGTAGACTTTCTATAGGTACTGTATTCACTGGCACCATCCACATTCCAGTCAAACCCTGGTTTTACCTGCTGTTGTTTGAACCTCCAGCTCTTACCTGCTGTTTATCTCTTTGTACACCCTCTCCCACTAATGTTACTCCACCTTTTACACTGTTCTTCTTAGCCTTATTTTACATGTTATAAGAGGAACCCTCTCATTCATTTCTTCTCTCAGTGGTAAGATGATATAAAAACAAATTGCATTTGGGCCTTAATGTTTGTTGGCATTTACAGCCTACTTGAGATTACAATTTAACTGATCTGAATGTTTCAATTAAGGTTTCTTTAGTGAAATCATTAAATTATTTGTGTCTTTTTAGTGGTGCATGTGCCACATTTCATTTTTCTATTTGATGATTGAAAGACAACTGTTCAAAAACATTATGGAGATTGTGACATTTTAAAACCCACATGGTCTGGAGAATTGTGCTCTTTGTTGTCATATATTGTGACGTTCTGCTGCAATCTGTGTTTTTGATCCTTTTAGATTTGTTAGGTTCACTGTACATTATTAAATGCTTTCATCCTGTTCATTGTCATTGTGAGAAAAAGAAAACAATTTATGTTTGAGGTTAAGGGCAAATTCACCAGCATAGTGCAGTCAGGAAGGTCTGTTTACCTATTACCCTATTATTATTATCAGTAACAAAATTTGATGCCACATAGAAATAGAACTTAAAATATTAAAGTCTAAAAACTTTCCAGTTTCTTTTTCTATAAATAATTTTTGAAGTATTTCCCATATTTAAATAAATGTCTTTAAATAAAGATGCAGTAAAGTTACTGTAAATCTGGTTTGCATAACAAAACAAGCAGTTTAATTTTGATAACTTTTTTAAATAGAAAAATGGTACTGATCTTAACAATTAATATCAGCTATAAGGGACTTATTATTTCATGTTGAGTAGAACAGTTTGAGGCAGGACAGGAGCTTGTAAAATGCCCTTAAATTAACATTACACCTTTACTGAGGTTTATGGTTCGTTAATGACTAATCATATGGGCCAGCTGTTTGCTATCTGTGACATAGATAAGACTAACTGAATAACTGATCAATGGCACTGCTTATGGGTAACAGACATTATGAGACATATAAGACTGAATATCAAATGCCGAATAGTTACTATATCATACCACTTGTAAAAAAACAGTTTCCAACAGAACATTTAACTCCAGAAAAATACATTATGAACATTGTTATTTTTATTTTGGTTAATTAAGTAACAGTACTCAATTTATTAAAGGTTTAAGATTTAAATAAAGATGTCATGCAATAGTGTTTAAGGGATATTTTAGCGATTGGAATATACTGTATTTTGTCCAGATGAACATTAAGCTATATGGCAAGCCTTTAAATTAAAACATAGCATTGCATTATAATATAATCAATAATGGCAATAATAGAGCATATTATAATGCTGACTGCCTCACAGGGCTGGGGCCCTGGATTCAATTTCAGACATATATTTCATTATATGTTCTTCTTGTGTTTGTGAGGGTTTCCTCCCACAGTCAAAAAACATACTGGTAGATTAACTGGCTTCTAGAAAAATAGGTATGAGTGCATGGGTGTGTCTGTGTATCTGTCCTGGGATGGACTGACATATGCCTGTTGCTTGGTGGGATAGGCTCCAGCTCCCCTGAGACCCAACATTGGAAGAGGCGGTTAGAAAATAGATGGATGGTAATCGGGACTTCATATACCACCTAAGGTCATACTAAATATTTTGCTTCATAGTTTGTAGGCAACCTAAAAAAGTCTATCAATATTACTAGACAGACAATGCTGCTAGAGTGTGTTAAAATATTTACATAGTTCCTGCTATTTACATGTCCTATGATATGTAATTATGATTTAATTATGATGTACAGATTTTATGCCATCAATATGATTTGAGATCATGCCATGTCATTTACCAAATTGCTTTATACCATACAGTGTCGCGGGAAGCTGGAGCCTACCTGGCAAGCAACAAGCACAAGGCAGGGTACACCCTGGACGGGTTGCCAGTCCATCACAGGGCAAGTGCAAGCCAATCATAGATGGGGACCATTTGGAGGCCATGGTAAAGGCTGAGGGGGGAAATTTGGTCCGGACACCAGGATAACTCCCTACTCTTATCGCGAAATGCGCGGGGATCTTTAATGACCACTGAGAGTCAGGACTTCAGTTTAACGTCTCTTCCAAAAGACAGCACCCACTTCAGTATAGTATCCCAGCCACTATACCAGGGCATTAGGACCCACACAGACCGCAGAGTGAACTGATCCCACTAACACCACTTCCAGCAGCAACCATAGCTTCCCAGGAGGTCTCCCATTCAGGTACTGACCAAGCTCAACTCTGCTTGGCATCAGTAAAAGTTAAGATAGTTAAGTGATAGATACTGTAAGATCAGTAGCCAGTTGTGAGTTGCAGGGTGATGATTTGAAATCATATATTCTTAAATATTTTTAAATAATCAACATCAGTTGAAAATCTTTTAATCCATTCTCACACTGACCTCTTTCAAATTGCCTGTTGAGCTCACATTAGCTCAAAAACTTATAAGGATGTTATGTTGTCGTCTTCATTTGTCCTCACTCTAAAGGAAAAATCTTCTTCTTACCCATAAACAAGTATCTTTATTCTAGTGAATGTGACATTTGTTCTACATAACTGACGCCTTCTGTTCTGTACCACATTCCTTAATCATACGTTATTCACAGTTTTCACAGTGACATAAGTTTCATTGCTTAGAAGTATTTTTAATTCTTCTGCATAGTCAGTTGTATCCTATGCATACACAAATACTATTCCTATTCATTTATTGGAGAAGAATGTCTTTGAGAAATTAGTGGATATTTTGAACATTCCCTTTCACTAACACACTTTTCTGATTTTCTCATCAACTGGAAAACTCTAAATAGATTTGTCAATGCAAAACATTTACTTCTTTTCCACGTGGTTGACACACAACTTTATATGCTGTACCTTCATAGGCCTGTCAGTAATATCTTTAACACGATAAGCCTTCAAAATCTATGCAGAAATCCTATTACAATTAAGAGGCCCTGTTGCTGGAGGCCTTTGTTACCACAGACATTATAATATAATAATCATTTAGTGGCCTAAATGATTTTTTGGTCTTTTGGAGACAGAAATTGGTCCTGTCAAAGGAGTCTTTAAAAACCATACTAACAATTTTGGTGTGTGTAAGTGTGCTTCTGCATATTGTGTAAGCGTGACACTGTGGGTGGTGGTCTGTGCGCCTTTTTCGCGCATGCTCCGTTCTCACTGCAGAATGCAAGGCGAGTCGATTCTCCTACAGAAACACATGCAGCTCCACCGAGCCCAGCTTCATGGCATCCATTCCCTGTTCCATCATGAAAATAACGGGAACTGATCACTACAAAGCATCGGATTTGTAATGTCTTAACACTTAAATAGAGAAAGAGAATAAAAACTGGTAACTAAAGGTAAGCGGTATATATGTTTAATCCTTGCCTGCTGATTCTTGAGCCTCTTATCAGATGGAATCCGGCTGCGAACCCCAAGTGAAAATTAAGTGATGCGATGCTGTTTGTATATAATATTGTACAGAGAGTACGATGGATGTTTTGCTTTAGGTGATGGCAATTGTACAAGTTTGGGGGATTAGTGATGTTTTGGCTTTATCCTCTAGCAGGGATACAATTTCCCACGGGCAAATGCCGTTTCGAGGTTAAGATGAAGATGATGCTCTAGAAATAGACAAGTAAATGCTCAGGTGGATATCCGTCTAACCCAGTGTCTTAAAGACCAGCAATCATTGCTTTTCAGGATTTCATTAGCAAGACACATCTAGCAGCTGGTTTAGCTGTGGGATAAATCGTAATTTCGTGTTCAAGTTAGTTACTTTGAATATGCTGGTTTATGTACAGTAATAAACCATACAAGGAATTCGAGGACAACTGATTATTTCAAAGCTAGCAGTGAATATAATAATAATTCCTGAAGAACTGACATTTTGGATAAAAAAATAAATGCTGGTATCTGTTTGATTCATGGAATTTGTAGCCAATCCCGTATTGATGTTGTAGCATTAATTGCTAAATACAACCTTTCTCACAATACGGTTCAACTAGTTTCAGTATTCCGAAATCATATAGTTTTATTTTGTTATTTTGTTTGAGTTTAAAAGCGTTCATGGAATATCGTTTGTTCATTTTATGTAGCAAACTACAAAGACGACTGAAATACAGTATTGTCTGTACTGCAAGACTGACTTTACTAGTTTACCATACCGGGGACAGCCACATTCTGGATTGTATAGACGACGTTACTGTATATTAAGTAACGCATTTTTATCGTACACAAGAATACACTTTTACTTTTAATCTGCAGAAGAAATAAGTTGAAATGGTTTGAAATTTGGAAATCTACAGGTTCTACTACTACTTTATTTAGTACTTCAAACAAGTCGCTGTAGATTATCTTTGCTAAATGTATTTTAATGCACATTAGTAAAATGAGATTTTAGGTAGAAATGCCAGATATTGTGCATGCATGTGATAGTATTCATAAATATAGATAGAATATACATTTTTGTTATTTAAATATATTTGTTAAATTTATTAGAATTATTGGCTAAATTAGAAACACATTTGTCTTCAGCAATTTAACTAACAATTTCATATTTCTTTGATGCACTAAATGTCATTGTGCAGAATGTTCTTTCAGAATGCACAATTGTTAGTTCTATCTGAAATGTGAAATAGATTTTGCACACTTTTCACTTCATTCTAATACAGTAAGTGAGATATCTTTTAGTTTAAAGACCAGTATACTGCAGATTTTGTGTTGCTCACCAACACGGATTGGAGGCTTACTCTGTAGGAGGAGTTTGTATTTTACTACCAAAAGAATGCTTTGAGAGTTTATAAAGAACTACATTGTGGGAATAGGTATATTCCACATAAATGTGTTCACAGTAGTGGTTGTTTTAAATAGTAAATAACAGGCTGGTTTACACAAAAACAGGTATGTGCAAAGTACCAAGTGTCATGCAGAAATATACAGGACTGACCCAGTACAGAGTTTTTTTTCACATAATCTCAATTACAGAATCATATTCTGTCTATTTTAAGAGATCAGACATAAGATTTAAACATGAGTAATGTTTTCCCATTACAACCAATCAAAGTTACCCGCTGGTTATTCTTAAGCTAGAGCAACATGGGCACACCAAGCTAAAAACCAAATGGAAATCTTGCAGTAATGTGATTACTCTAAGAAAAAGAACTGGATGTTAAATGACAGAGATTCCAGTACATAAAATGGTTAAAAAAATGAATGCCATATTTCCCTGTGTTACAGTAAAAAGGAAATCACATAAAAGTAAAAAACAAAATGCAAGGAAGAATGAAATACTGTTTATTCCTTTTTGATTATTTAGAATTGCCATTATTTTCCTTATATAACACAAAGTTGAAGCCATCAGTTGTCTTTGAGAGAAATCAGCACAGCCTTGCAGTGCCTCTAGGAAATCAGTAATGCAATGCTCCATGTCATGCTGCTTCTCTGAAAGAGAAAAGGCGAGGCTTGAATGTATCTGGGAGGTGTGACACAGCTTCTAGGAGCAGGGCCCTGCAGTATTGAAATGAGTACCCTTTGCAGGGAGGTAATTGTGTACAACTGTGACAAAGCACCAAGCAAAAATGCTCTTGTGAATGAAGTAGGGGCAAAAGGTCCTGCAGAAGACTGATCTACACCCGCACTCACAAAGCTTAAAGAATTCAATGTTATTTTGGCAGAGAATATTTTAATATGGCATGGCTGAGCACACAGGGCCTGGCCAAAGATGGGAGTTCCTGCCAAAGGTGTACATGCTTCAGACTTTTTGAATTTCAGAGGGATCATCCTGGATGGTTTTGGTCCTAGAATTTGGCATGTTGTCTGCATATGACAAAGAATAATCTGTCCTCTACAAGCCAGGCAGTCTTGTCAGTACATAATTGCACAGGGGGAAAAAAAGCTTTTCACCACTCAGCTCTATGACATGAACTCATTTTATGCCAAAAGTGAGGACTTCTGCACTGAGCCAGTGTGGAGCATTGATTCCAGATCCACCTGCATCTAAGCAGACATATCTGCTTTGCATACCTCAATGCCCTATATGTACTATGGTCCTCTTATGTGTTTACATTCCTCTTATACGTATCCCTGCTTGATATTGATCTATTTCTGAATCTTTCTTTTGGTTCTATGATAAAGGGTGATGCAACAAGTTGCAAAACAAACACTTAAAAAGTTGTCTTTTTGACTTACTGTCTGCATCTTTCCAAAACTATATTCTGTTGAATTTGGGTGATAATAGCTTTTTATACCTCAGTTACTTGAAGTTTGTGATCCAAAGCAGAACAGTTGGAAAATTAAGAAAAAAGCTAGGACCCTGCCTGTTTTATAAAATGTGTATAGTTAAAGTCTGACTTAAAACACAAAACATTGATTTGAGTTTTTAAGAGGCATTGTTGCGATATTTGCTTGTTCTTAAGTGGTTGGTTTTGTTAAATGTCACCCAATAGTTAATAGATGTCCATATTTTTAAATGTGTTTGTTGCAGATCAGCTGTACCATTCCGAAAGGTTTCGATGCTTATGCAGAAGGCTGATATTTACTTAACAGATGTGTAAGTCCTGTGGTGAAACACCATATTCTTTTGGTGACGATGATGTGTTTTTTTTGGCTGAGATCATTATTTCTAGACATGATTTTGTAGCAGATCACAGAATCTTGTTTTAGGATCAAACTGTACTAAATTGCACTAACCCTGTTTTTGTGTCTTTTTTATTTTAAGAAATAAGGTAGAAAATTACTGACAGCCATGAGCTGATAGAGAGAGGTGCAACTTGTCTGTTCCACAACTGGGTAGAATTCTTCTGGCATTCTTACAAAGTAGATTGTGGCATTGTGCTTTTAACTTTTGACCTGTCTGGGAAGTGATAGACTAATGGGTTTCTTAAAGCATCTTAAACCTTACATTATTTTGTACATCCTTTCAGCCTGCAATGTGACCAGGTTTGGGTTTTAACTATGCAGACTTCTATAACATGATCTTCAATTAAAAGGCCAGAGTTGAAAAACTGCTTTTTGGTTTTTAAGATCAGCACTGTTTCTTCTGCCAAACCTTGAGGTCTCAGAACAGAATAAAATGTAGATTCTGACATTCTCTGAACAATTCCGTTTGACGACCTGAGTAACTAACTCCTCAAAGTAACCCTAGTCACTCTCTTAAGTATCATTCTGTGCTGTATAAAGGTGAAGTTTAGATGTTTAAGGGAAATTGTTTGAGTTCTGGAACTTATCACAGGAATTTTCACTTTATGAGTGGTTTTCTAGGATTAAGCTTGTGCAATGAGATATACAATATTTTAAAAATGTTTAAATATTATATAATTTGTAATAATAATTGTAATCGTTTTTCACAAAACAGGTTCGTGCAATTTGTGTGTACATACTGTATGATGCCTGTCTATAAAGGGTTCCATATTTCATTTAGTGTAACATTTTCATTTTTTGTACTTTGTTTTTCATTGCTTAACAAAAGTTGAGTTTGTATTCATTCATGAAGCACAACATTTTTCAAATTAATATGATTTTATATATTAATTACATTTATTGTAATAGATGTCAACATTAAAAGGTGATGTTTTCTTTGCAATATATACAGTAAATGTAGCCTGTATTATAGTATACATACAACTACTGTAAGTCAGGATGTACAGGATGCCAGTCCATCACAGGGCGAACACAGTGACACATGCACTTACACCAGGGCCAAATTTTCCATAAAACAGTTAACCTACTTATATGTTTTTGGACTTTGGGAGGAAACTGGGGCACCCATGGGAAACCCACACAAACATGGGGAGAACATACCTACTCCATACAGACAGCACTCCAGGTCTAGAATTGAACTGAGGTTATCAGCACTGTGAAAGTGCAATGCTAACCACTGCACCACCATTCTCTGTGTGTGCTACCGAAAGTGCAACATAATAACCATTTAATGCCATCTGGCATTTAATATTGCAGTGATTTTTGTATTAGTTGCACAGAACTGTCAGTTAGAAAGCAACCTAATGTTGACAATTGGACGCTAAAAATAAATCATATCATGTACTGCCTTACTTTGTGCTGTGGCCTTAATATTGCAGGCCGGCAGATCACCTGCAGCCCCAGTGTGTTGCAGAAACACACAAATCCCTGTGTCAGACAGTCCACACAGGCACTGGATCCCTGAGCCATGTGAACCTTTGGAGTAAAGATGAAGAACCAAAGGAAGGTTATTGATAACAGGAGGCCATTCAGTCTTTAATTTTCATTAATGATCCGAGGATTCCTGCAGGCTATTTGTACAGGATCCTGCTGAGCACGTTTTTTATCATGTAGTTTGGGTGTTGGTTCCAGATTCCTTCAATCTTGTGCGTAAAGAAATGGCTATGTCCTGTAGATCCTTAGGCTAGCATCCTGAGGTGTTTGCATTATCACTGATCTTGAAAAAGCTACTTCAGTTGTTCTTCAAACAAATCTTGTATGATCAGTATGATAGTTATACAGGGGCAAGATCTACAGTGTGTATAGAAAGTCACGACCCCCTTTCAAAATGTTCACCTTTTGTTGCCCTAAAGCCCAAAAGGAAGACAAATAAAATCAGACTTTTTCAGTTTTATTTACAAATTGTACCTTGCAATCTGAAAAAAGAAAGCAAAATTTCTGAAAAAAAGTAGAATAGCTGGGTTGGATATGAGAACACCCCCCTGAGTTAATACTTGGTGGAAGCACCTTTTTCTTGAATTACAGCCTTGAGTCTGTTTGGATACATCTCTACCAACTTTGCACACCTAGAGGGAGGAATATTTGCCCATTCCTCCTTACAGGATTGTTCAAGATCAGTTAAACTGCATGGGGACCATTGATGGACTGCCCTCTTCAAGCCATTAAAAAGATTTTCGATGGTATTTAAGTTACGGGCTCTGACTAGGCCACTCAAGGACATTCACCTTCCTGTCTTTTAGCCACTGTATGGTTGCTTTGGTAGTATGCTTTGGGTCATTGTCATGTTGAAAGGTGAACCATCTTCCCATTTTCAACTTCTTGGCTGAGGGCTGCAGGTTTTCTTCAAGAATATGCCAGTATTTTGCACCATCAATCTTCCCTTCTATCCTGAAAAGTGCTCCAGTCCCAGCTGAAGAGAAACGCCCCCACAACAGTATGCTGCCACCACCGTGCTTTACTGTAGGAATGGTGTTCTTTGGATGGTAAGATGTATTGGATTTTTGCCAGAAGTACCGTGTTGAATTCCAGCTTTTGGTCTCTTCTGACCACAGCACCTTTAAGGTGCTTTTTAGCAAAACATGAACACTTCTTTTTTTAAGAAGTGGCTTTTTTCTTGCCACCATCCCATACATGGATCAAGCCCAATTTAATTTGTCATACAACACAAGATACAAATTTTGAAAGGGGGTGGTGACTTTCTACACCCACTGTACCTTGTAGTTAAACAAGATCTGTCCTTAATGGTTATTTCCCAGGATGTAGTTTTCATGTAGATGCTCTCCTGATTTGGCTCTCAGATTAAAAAAAAAAATAGTCTGTAATTCCCTGTCTCGTTTGTCACCTTGTTTATAAATGCTTTCTACATTTGCTATTTTCCAGTCACAACTCCAATCATAATACAGTCATCCCTTTACTATAACTCGAGTAAGAACTGTACAATATTTAAAAATATTCATAAAATGCGACACATGTCAGCACTCCCCTGGTACCTTTTGCATTTTTGTGCAGTTACAAATGGAGCTAAAAGATCCCACCATGAGGAAGGATGCTCTGAATTAAATATTAGAGGTACCCTCAATGCACAGCATATTCTAACATCATATATTCCTCACCATGAAGTGAATTTAAGTGCAGATTTCTGAAAAACAGTTATATTCTTCCCAGGTGTTGTAATTTGCTACACTTGACAGTATACTGAAATTTTTCTTCCCATATTTTAGATACCCTAAGCTCATCTCTCATTGCTTTCAGGATATGTTGTCTCACATGAACTGTTTTTTACAGTATGAGCATATGTTTTACAGAACCCTGTTACAAATCTTAAAATACACAGGAGCATTTGTAGTATGTGATTACACACTTTGCATGTTTTTGAATGTTTAGTTTTTTTGTGGGTGTCAGCAGTGCACAAAAACATCACAGGTGGCTGTGGCTTTCAAAAACTGCAAAAATACTTAAGCTGATTTCTTACTTGACAATCAATATGCATATTTAACCATAGTACTCTAATTAATGTTCTGGCTGTCGCCTTTATTAAAAAAAAAATCTTTAAATTGACAAAAAGAGCTTTGTGACGTGAGCTCAGTAAAACTAATTGGTATCATTACAGTTTGACAGGAAAGAGGTTAACATTTTCTCAGTATTTGCTGCAGAATGAAAACTTTATTCACTTAATTCACTGCATTGTGAGGGACTGCCTCTAAATCTGTGCTTTGTACCCTGTACACCAGAATGACCATCACATGGGCTCATGGTTCATTAGATGTGATTCTGCTGATGGAGACACATTAATTGTGGGAAAAGTTCAGATGGAAGGTTCTGCTCTAGGGCAAAAGAGAGGTGTACAGTAGATAACCAGTTTCCTCTTCTTTTTATGTTATACAGTAATAACAGTGGTATTAGGTCAGTTTGTCTTTAGCATTTTCTATGTTGTTACAGTATAGTTTTTTCTACAGTATCCAAGACTTTAAAGTTGTATTTTTTCTTCAGTGAAAAGGACACTGTGGTGTGACGTCTGTGGTGTGCTTTGCAGAGCACTATATGGTAACTTCTCCATGTATACCCTAAACCCAGAAAAAAACATTAACTGAAAATCTTAAAAATCCCCAATACAGGATTTTATATTAAAAATGGAGAACTGTTGCTATTATCTAAAACTATTTGCAGTATACTGGTTTGTGTACATGTTTTAGATTTAAAATATTGTGCAAAAATGTAAGTCAAATTATTTTAGCCTAGAATAAGATTTATAATATGGAGTACTAAGTTTAAAGGTTGAGTTTGTGAACCACACTTTTCCTTTATTATCTCTGCTATTTTGGAGACCAGTCATCAGGTCTAATTCTTTAACTGTGAACCCAGTAAGTCTCAGCTACATTTTGTAAATATTTACTGCTTAGATGAGTGCAGGGCCTGAAAAGATGTTGCATAGGAAAGTTGAAGAGATCTTTTACAGAAATCAAAGCAGACCTTTTTCAGAAACAGAAAGCCTAATTATAATTCACTAATTATAATTATTATTATAATTAGTGAATCGACCACTGAAAGCAAACAGTGGCCTCAGACATGGGAAGGTTATTTGGCCCATCTAGCGCATTCAGCTGCTAGTGACATTACGCTTTTTTCTAAAAAAAAAACATCAGGTTGTTTCATGAAAGATCCCAGCAGAAAAGCTTCTAGAAAATCCAGTAACTGGCTAGTTAGTGTTGGTGCTTTTTTTTTGCTTTGTGGCTGCGTGATCCAAGGTGATCCTAGCATCTAGCTTTCACCTTAATGCATGGTTTACATGGTTGAGTTGCTGCAAAATATCCTGATAATATAGCAATGTGTGAGTATTCAGTGGGTCTTATT